GTTTACATAATATGCAATCTCCCCTACCCCAAGGCCCAAGCCTACCCAATAGCTCTGAGGTTATAGGGAAAGGGTACAGGGGAGGGGAGGGAGGAGGAAATAACATAAGTAGAAGGTTTAAAATTTGAGTGCCCAGCAGGGGCGATCGGCAAACAGAGTCTCCATTGATCTTGCGGGAAAAAAAATCAAGAACTTTTACTTACAGGAAATAAAACAATTTGCCCTGTCAAGAACATAGCTCTAGAGCTCTGAAATGTATTGCAGAAAATGTGTCAAGTTACTGACTAGGCTGTACACAAATTAAATGTATTGTAAATAGGCAAGAAACTCCACAAACAAAAACTAAATGAGATTCATAACTAATACACTCTTCACACAAAGTTTATATCATAAAGGGGTCCCACATAAACATCATTGAAGGTAGGAGATGAGGGGAAGTTCTCTGAAATTAGCATATGCATTAAGGTGCATACAGTCTCAGACTGTGCACAGACACGTAATTTATAACAATAAACCATACATGGTTCACATTTTCCTCTCTTATAGTCTGAAAAGGAAATTAGGCTTAAGTTTGGACTCTGAGCTGAACATTCCTAGCCTATTGATGTACATGTAATTCCAATGAGAACCTTCCCAACCTCCAGCAAAAAGTACTCAATAAATACTACTATAAATCCATCAAAAATATATTTTCTTGTCATTTGCACAGATGTTTGGGAGAACGACAGTCGTTTGCAGCAAGGCAACAGGAAAGGCTTGCATCATCCTTTGAATCTGTGAAGGCTGCAAGAAAAAGACGGAATTGTGAAATTGAGAAAAAAAGATCAGGGAAAAGGCAAAAGAAAACTCACTCTGGAAATTTTGACAGAACGGCATGGGACAAGGAAACACTAAAGAAAGAAATTGAAAGCAAAAAGGATGGCGAGAAAATCAATTGGTCAGAGGTTGCTCGCTGATACCATGTAACCAACAACAGGGGGGAAATTGCTAGGAATGGTGGGCAAATAGTCCAGGAATGGCTGGTGAATCAGGGAGTAAATATTCACCGTTTCAACCCTCAAGGATTGCCAAACAAGTTAAGGGCAAGAAGAAGAAAGAAGAGAGGACAAGGTGGTGAAATAAGCATTCCTGTCCCAGAGACAAATGATGAGCTCAAGGAAAAACTAAAAATGAAGATAACCTCTGGTGAATATACCTTGGGAGAGCTTATTGTGCCAAGGAAGGTAATCTCACTGCTTACTTGACCATTATTTGAGAAGCAAGAATGCTGAAATTGTTCAAATAAAAAACATAAGCTTTGCTAATTACTTGTTCATTATTTTCTATATTTTGCAGTATGAAAAACTGGTCCTTGATAAAGATGGCAATATCAAAAAGACAGAGTTTGTGGTTGAAGAAAGAAAACAACCATGGGAAGAAATTCGAAAGAAGACATTAACGCTCCATGAAAAATTCATGAGAGTTAAGCCAGATGAATTCTATGAGGAGATGCCCAGAGAACAAGTGGTCTCCAGATTAAAGGAGTTGAATGAGTATGATGAAAATGATGGTCTGACAAAAATGAGGAAAAAACTGAAAAAAATGGAACGGACACGTCACCTGCAAATATGGCATCACCATTCAACACTAGCTAATCATGGGCACATCCTTTTCATGGTGTCCTGCCTTTATGACCCAGCTGTGCATCTTACAAACCTGGAGTATAAATTGGAAACAGGGGAGGAGGTTGATGTTCAGACAGAAGTGGAGAAACCAGAAATTTACATTGTTGGGAGATGCCATAGCAGTGATACAGAACAACTTGCCTATGTAGAAAGCAGGTCGTGCTGCCTCCAGCACCTTCAAAGAAACCTCACAACTGAGAAAGAAGGATGCACGGTAGAAATAAACAACAAGATGAGATTCTTCCATGGTGACTCGCCAGCCCAGAACTTTAAAAGTGGTCAGCAGAAGGGAGGTCATTATTATTGCTCTGGATGTGGTGTTCATGCAAGCCGTGTATTTGAGCTGGACCACACTTTCAAATGCAAGTTTGTATCATTGAAGGATCACCAAGACTGTGTATTAAAGGGTCTCATCGGCAGGAACTCTGTCAATAAAAAATCAAAGCCACTAAGCAATTTAAAGAAACAACATCTGATTCGTGAGCTAGGGTCAAGAGAAATCTTTCAAGGAGACACAAAAAAGGAGTTGGAAGATAATCTTACTAATGAACTGCAAGGTGTTCAACGTGTACCAGCTTTACTGTTTGAAAACCCAACAGAAGATCTTATAGCTATAAACATTGAAGATTACGAAATTCTTGTGTGTGAGCCAATGCATGATGTTTCAAACCATATTGAGTGTCCTCACGGAACTGCCAAGTCACATAGCAAATGCTGAACACAAAAAGCTCATTGAAGAAACAATTGCATTAACTATTGGTGGCAAAGAAACCAAGCAAGCATTTGACTACCGATGTGCCATAATAAATGTTTCAAATCAAATCAAAGGAGTTGTTGATGGCAAAGTTCAGGCCTTAGTTGACACTCTTGTTGACATTCAAGAAGTTCTGTACAAAGGTGATGACCAGAGATGTCCAAGAAATGTTCTCCGCCTACACAACAGCACGTGGTATCATGCCATCTTATGTCGAGAAGTTCTTGGGTTCAAATTAAATGAGATAACAAGGAAATTCTATGGCACATACTTCCATGACTTGACAGCTCATGCTCCTCTACAGCTGAGGCTTGTCAGTGGGAAAACAGCAAATACAGAAGAGGAAGAATGCATGTTCAACACAGTCAAATCCATTACATCAGCAACTTCAAATGGGCACCCTGACCACATCGTCGGAAATTTGTTCATTCGCCTTCAGGCTGAAGAACAGCTTGGAAAGTCTAGAACAACAGTGGCAAAGCAGGAGTCACAGTTATCAAAGCTAGCAAAATCTCTTGGTCTTCGCACTAACACTATGATCCCTATACTAGTCATCAAGAAACATGCCAGGTCCTGGCAAGCCCATCTTCAAAGAATAGCTGATTTTCTTCTCCCAGGAAAAGGTATTTGGTGGTGTCAGAAAGAAGGGGGAATTGAGTTCTTTGATTCACAGTGTGCTTTAAAGGACAGGTCAGAAGGTCCTATTCTTCATTACTACCGTTCAAGCAATCACAAAATTGAAGAGTCTTACCTTCAGACGTGTTGGAATGAATGCCTTGAGAAGTTGTGCATTCCTAGTCATGTCATCTGGACTGAAGATAACCA